CCTAGAAAGAGTAGGAGCAAGAAACATCATTATACTAGAAGTTATTTTTGTGATAGGGAAACAAAAAAAGAATGTAGATGGAAAGACCCTACCCTCCAGGCTCTGGCGTTTAGTGGAATATCACTGCCTTTGATAAATGGCGACAGAGGCATTCCATGGGATCAGGAAAAAGACACAGCGAGCATCACAGGCCCCAACATTTTCATGGTGCTCACATAACAAGATCTGAAATAAGCTCACTGTATCATTTCAAGTGTGAGAAAACAGGTGTTCAGCTCTCCTCAGCAGACGGGAAACTAAATTGACCTTGGGGTCTTCTGCTTACAGTGGGGAGACGTGTCTTTAATGGTCCATGACTGGAGCCTTCTTTTTCCTAAACCACTGACAGCATAAATCTCAGGGACTCGTAAGGCAATTTGTGTCCGAGAATGAATGCAAGAAGGGCACAAGAATTTGAACTTTCACTTCCCAAGACATTCAGCAAAGGCATTTGCCCTTATGTTCATACAGTGTGACCGCTGGGAAGGCAGGGAACTAATGAGCAACTGGCCCAGTGCTTATGTTCTCAAATAGCAAAGGCGAAGTAGATTACCTAAGAAAATATAATTTAGGAGTTTTTTTTTTTGATGAGGAAAAAGGATAAATTAAATCTCTTAAGTCATGAGGAAAGTTGATACTTTCATCTCAAATGCTGAACTTTTAGTTGAGAAATTATATTGTTAGAGTCGAAACGCCAAGGTTTTGAAGTTGGGGATACCAGCCTTCAGCAGAAGTTCCTGAGGCCTGTTGCACGTGGAATGCATCATATGGCTGAAAGTTAACCGACAGCTGTGAGGTGGGAAAGGAAGCCCCTCGGTAGAGAACAGAGTCTGTGTCACAGAGAACCCTGAGATGCCCTGAATACCACTCTAAAACTTTCAATTAGTCTAATTTCACCATTTTTTCCCTTAAAAAAACAAAGTTTTTAGACCATTGCAAACATCACATGTATCTATGTACATTGAGACCCTACAAGCCTGAGAGCTGGTGTACTCTCGTGACAAAGCTAAATCTCTCAAGAACCGAGAGCCTATTTTCTTTATCCTTAGACCTTCATTTTCTATCTTGGGAACTAAGAAATACTTACATAATTATCCTCAAATATGGCTTGATTTTTCTTCCTTGATGGAAACAGCATTCCTGCCAACTTTAAAATTTATAGCTACCACCATATTTTTTTAATTTTTAAAAGCACAGGAAACACTACAAACCCTTCAAAGTGATTTTGAAATGAATGTTTCTTCATCTTCACAATTACCCCGCATCACACTGAAATGTACTCAGCACACAAATAGAAAGAACATTTACCTTTGATTCTTAGTGCAAAACATTATCTTTGATGGGATTACTAGACGATGAAGGACAGACTAAACAGAGGCTAAATTTGATCAGTGCATGCTGTATGCATATATTGAAGTGGCATGCTGAGAGCAATTAACATATAGGTAATACATATCAATGAAAATGTTGCTTTTGGAATAACAAAATTAGCAACTAAAAATATTCTAGAGGCAATCATACATAAGCTATTAGAAATTTTAATACAAAGTAAAACATGGAGGCTGGGGAGATAGTTTAGTGGATAAGAGTGCTTGCCATGCAAGCGATGGGGACTTCAGTTCAAATCCTTAGCCCCCACTCAAGAAAAAAAAAACCCTCATGGCTGTAGGTGCATTGGGAGCTGACAACAGATGGGTCCCTGGAACTCACTGACCAGCCAGCCTGGCAGAAATGGTGAGCTTCCAATTCAGAGACCACGCCTTAAAAGGAGGAAGGCACAGTGTGATAGAAGACAACCAACTTCATCCTCTGGCCTTACATATGTCTACATGGGCACATGACCTCACATGTCCCCCCCCACTAAGTACCACACACACACATACATATGTATAAACACACATACATGTACTACATAATATATATACATATCACAAGCGTACATTTTCAAAAAAACTGTGAGTCTTGTGATCAAGTCCTTTTGTTTTTATGTACATGCAAAAAAAAAAGGAGAGAACAGGGCAGACAGAAACACAGAGATGGGAGACAGAGAGAGTGATAAAGAAGGAGGGAGAGAGAGAGAGAGACAGAGAGAATTGAGAGAGAGGGAGAGAATTGAGAGGGAGACTTATGATAATAGACTACACCATAGTTTTCTAACTTATTTCCATCTAGTTTCTAATTTCATTGATTTCTGTTCTGATAATTCTCAGAGGGACATAAGATGAGAATTGTTTCTTTTTTTAAGATTTATTTATTTACTTTTACATATGAGTGTTCTATCTGCATGCACACTTGCAAGCCAGTAGAAGGCATTGATTCCATTATGCCACTATGTGGTTGCTGGGAATTGAACTCAGGACCTCTGGAAGAACAGACAGTGTTCTTAACTACTGAGCCCTCTCTACAGACCCTGGGAATTATTTCTTGTTCTGTTTGTTAAATCAGTAAACAAAACAAAACAAAAAAATAAAGAAAGAAAGAAAGAAAAAAAAAGCCCAGCTACTAGCTCCCAGACTAGTTCTTTAAAAGAAAGGGGAGAGTTTTAACCGCACTTCTTCTCCCTCGACAAGATAAAGCCATCCCCTGGATCACAGAGACACTGCACCAAAGTTGGTGTCTAAAAGTTCTAGATTTAAACACTTTCTTTGAAAACCTAAAAATCAATAGAGTAATATAGCCCACAGCCTCTGAGGCAAAGAAATCCTGAAATTTATTGGAAAAACAAAACAAAAAACCCTCTAGCCTATAAAAAAGAAAGAAAGCAAAAGAACAGAGAAGAATATGTAGATAGATAGAAAAATAAGTACATAGGCAGGCAGGTAGATAAGTAGATAGATATTGATTTGAGATAAAGAGGTAAGGCTGGGCAGAGTTGCACACACCTATAAACTCAGCACTGGTGAAGAAGTGGTAAGAAGATCAAGAGTTCAAGACCATCCTTGCCTACATAAAGAGTTTGAGAATAGCATGGACTACATGAGACCCTCTGTCATGGGGTTTAAAAAAAAAGCAGAGTATTCAGTAAAATATAAACTGGAACAATGATTCTGTGATAGTTTTAAGGCTTGAATCCTTCCAAAAGGCATTGGGCGTTTGCTTCATCGCTTGACTTGTGGTGTGCCTCGAGGTAACGTGGTAGCACCCTTTTTACTTTTGACATGCTGCATCTAGCTTATGCACATAGCCACATGTGTCTATAAGATCCTAATTGGCATTTGTCCATTACCAAAACAAACACTGGAGGCAGCATTCCTGTTATGAAAAGATATTTTCATCTTTTCAACTCCTCAGAGAAGCCAGTGAGACAAATGAAGAGCTAGGTATTTTAAAGTCTTACTACAAATACCTGTGACTTACTAGATAACCCTTTGAAAGGCAGATTATCATTTCTTTGTCTTTATTTCTCCTTTGTGGGAACTAGAATGGAGCTGCCTGGAGTTCATTGATTGTAGGGAGAACTGTAAGAAATTCTTACTTAGATCTCTTAGACCAAGGAGGAAGAAATACACGTTGAAAGCCAAGTGATTTTGTAGAATGAAATGAGCAGAAAATGTGGAGGACCACTAGACCAAAATGGAGAAGATGAGTCTATAGGAAAGTCCCATGTAGCAGATACCTTTCCAGAGGTAGGAGAAGTCAGTGTAGCTGAAAGGACTACTGGGTGAGGGATCATGTTGATCATAGAGCTCTGAGAAGTTCACCCATAGCATACTGAAGGGAAGGGCCAAGAAACATTGATGCACTTCTCAACAGTAAGAGCCACTGGATGAAAAATAGACTGATACCTTACATCAGCCATGAAAGCTACAGCCTAAATTAGAATGAGATGCTTTTCTTTGGGTAATTAATTGAAATTCTCCTGCCTAAAACAAGCCTGTAAGTCTCTTGGGCTGCTTTAGTTTAGATCACATGGTCTGTGTGTTTCTTCTAAGTCTGGGTGTAATAAAATAAACTGAGTTGATATTTTGGTGTGTCTTATTTTCTTTTGTCCCTGTTCTTGAACATGCAGGCCAAGTAAAAGCACATAAGCTCTTTTATTTTATATTTAATATAAAATAGGCTCTATTTTGTACTCTTTAGAACATCTTTCTTGCCATGTTAGAGCTATGATAAAGATTCTTCAAATATAAAAAATATTGGTACCATTGACAAGCAAAAAGGTGAATTCAGAATCTTAAAATATAACATAATGAATAACTATTTGTATGTATGACCTGTGAAAAATAGTAACATATTGTCAAATTTATGTAATACATATAAATCATACACATTTTATAAAAAGAAGTATGGTCATCCCAACAGTTCACATCTGAGTTTTAAAAGGATGGTTTTGTTGTTGTTGTTTTGGTTTTTCAAGACAGGGTTCTCTGTGTAGCCTTGGCTGTCCTAGACTCGCTTTGTAGACCAGGCTGCCCTCAAACTCAAACTGCCTCTATCTCCCAAGTGCTGGATCAAAGATATGCGCCACCATGCCTGGCTGAAAAGGATTTTTAAGGCCCCCCTCATTCCAGTTCTGGGAAGTCCAAACAGCCTAATAGTTTGTATTTATGAGGCATATATTTAGATTTTATTTATATGACTGTTTATTGTTTTCTGAGACAGACTTTTACTTTGTAGCTCAAGCTAGCTAGAATTCAACTCACAGCAATCCTCCTGACTCAGCCTTCCAAATGCAATTATTGTTGCTCATCTGTGTTATTTTGAGTACAAACTGAAGATCATCTGCCAAAAAATAATGAGTATTGAAGACACATGACTGTCTTATGGACTAAGAAATCCAATGGCCATGCTTTCTCACGAGAATGGTAAATTTCCCTGCTCTATAACCATGGGCCACTGAGGTAGACTCAGAACTAGCCTGACACAGACTGTCCTGTCAAAAGGTAGTAGCGCGGTAGTACAAATGAATAATGTAGGTTTAAAAACAAAACGGAAGTACAGCAATCAGTTATCTCACGTACTTTGCAAAGCCGATGAAGTCTTCATGGTTGGTGTTAATGTAAGAGACTTGAATGTCAATCAATAGCAAGACCTGGAAGACAGAGAGAATCAAGTGTCATGACAACCGATCTTCCAATTTCTCAAATGCAAAATTCAATAGTTACCCATGTTATTTATCAGTATTTGGGTTTTTTAAATGATATTTTGATCAAAACAGCAAGTTTTTCTCTTTTGGAGTCCTTCGCACTCTGAGTATGCAAGTTAAAAACCTACGTACTAGATAAGTCTGAATGTCACGTGAAGAGAATAGTGTTGTGCCTCATAGACAGGCACTGCCTGCTGTCAGAGCACAAATCTTAGAGCTATTCTGTCCCTTTAAAGCAGAGGCCACATTCTGAGAAAGGCGAGCATATATAAACAATATTACACTTTGGCTTTTCTTTGTTTTTCCCATCCTTCTCTTCTTAAGCTCCCTCTACGCAATAGGAATACATCATCTATCAACTCAGAAAGGGAAAACACAAAGAAATCAGATCCTGCTTCAGCTGAGTGGAGTTCCTTATCTGAGTAAAAGTTCAGGCAAAGCTCAGTTAAAACACCATCTCAACAAAGGACGTTTCCCCGGCATTTCTGTCTGAATCACACATCATTACACACCATCATTATACCATGCTGCATTTCCTGTAGAGCAGGAAACTGGTACTTGACATGGAGGAGATTTGACATGTTCTGTGCATATCTCCCTGTTATCTGCCTTGTGGTAGCCCAGGGCCTGGACCAGTGTGTCAAACAACATGGTATTGGCGGAATCTATGAAGGTATGGATTGAACACATGTGCCAAGCAACACAAAGGTATTTTCTTCTTTTTTCTTTTTTAAAAAATTTATTTATTTTTTATTAATTACAGTTTATCCACTTTGTATCTCAGCTATAACCTCCTCCCAGTCCCACCTTCTGTCCTTCATCTCCTCCCTAGCCCCTCCCCAAGTCCACTGATAGGGGAGGACCTCTTCCTCTTCCATCTGACCCAAACCTATCAGGTCTCATCAGGAGAGGCTGCATTGTTCTCCTCTGTGGGCTGGTAAGGCTGCTCCCCCATTAGGGGGAGGTGATCAAAGAGCCAGCCACTGAATTTATGTCAGAGACAGTCCATGTTCCTATGACTAGGGAGCCCACTTGTACACTGAGCTGCCATGGGCTACATCTTTGCAGGGGTTCTAGGTTATCTCTATGCATGGTCCTTGGTTGGAGTATCAGTCTCAGAAAAGACCCCTGGGCCCAGAATTTTTCGTTCTGTTGCTCTGCTTGTGGAGCTCCTGTCCCCTCGAGGTCTTTCTATCTCCCCTTCTTTCATAAGACTCCCTGCACTCTGTCCAATGTTTGGCTATGAGTCCCAGCCTCAGCTTTGATATCTTGCTGAGTAGAGTCTTTCAAAGGCCTTCAATGGTAGGCTCTTGTCCTGTTTCCTGTTTTCTCCCTCTTCTGATGTCTATCCCATTTGCCTTTCTGAATGAGGATTGATCATCTTACACAGGGTCCTCCTTGCTTAGTTTCTTTAGGTGTACAGATTTTAGTATGTTTATCCTATATTATATGTCTAATACCCACTTATGAGTGAGTATATACCATGTGTGTCTTTCTGCTTCTGGGATACCTCACGCAGGGTGATCTTTTCTAGTTCCCACCATTTGCCTGCAAATTTCATCATTTCCTTGTTTTTAATTGCTGAGTAATATTCCATTGTGTAAATGTACCACAATTCCTGTATCCATTCCTCTGGTGAGGGACATCTGGGTTGTTTCTAGATTCTGGCTATAACCTAGAACCCCTGCACAGATGTAGCCCATGGCAGCTCAGTGTCCAAGTGCGTCCCCTAGTGAGGAACACAGGGGCTATCTTTGATATGAACTGATTGGCCTGCTCTTTGATCACCTCCCCCTGAGCAGGGAGCAGCCTTACCAGGCCACAGAGGAAGACAATGAATCCAGTCCTGATGAGACCTGATAGACTAGGATCAGATGGAAGGGGAGGAGGACCTCCCCTATGAATGGACTGGGGGAGGGCCAAGGGAGGAGAAGAGGGAGGAAGAGTGAGATTGGAAGGGGACGAGGGAGGGGGCTACAGCTGGGATACAAAGTGAATAAATTGTTTAATAAAAAACCAAATTAATTAAAAAAGCACCAACATCATCATAACAGTTAACAGGCACAGTCTTTATGACACTCTAGGATGCATGTTTCCTCGGTAATATCTTTGCTAAGTCTCACCACCCCTTCCCTCACTCAGGTCCAGGCCTTACCCCTATGCCATAATTCAACTATAGACACAGGTATTGTACCATAACACTTGAGTGTGCGTGGTTGCCACAAATATGAATCATTGGCATCATTTTTGTTTGTTTGTTTGCTGATTTTCTCAACAGAAGCAGATACAGTTGACAGCCATCCTGCCCTAAATGCATCCTGTCTCATCACAAGCAGGGACAATATTTGTCTTAGTCTTCATCTTAGCCCCAGAACCATGCACAATCTATTAAATAGATGCCCAGTAAATGTTTGTGGTTTTAATTCTGTTAACTGTCTGTGAAGCTAAAAGAAGAGTCCGTTTTCATGGGAGCAGTTTCTTCCCATGTAATTAGTACATGGTCCGTTACAGTCATCTCCCTGTCAGCACCCAGTGCTGTGGGCTCTGAGGCTTTGCCTTTGTGGCTAATCTCAACTGATCATCTGACCGAATCTTCCTGAGAGTCATAAAGGGACCTGCCAGAGACAGATCCAAAAGGTCACTCTGGGTCTTCTCTACCAAAACAGTTAAGCCAGGGCACAGAAACTGTTAGGTCAGCAACATCATATTTTCATGAAAAAAAAAAAAAATTCCCTATCAGATACAAGTTAATTTTAACTCTTGAAAAATACTGAGGAGTGATAATTATTAATTTATTTATAGCGTTACCGCTCTTCTCTCACAAATTGAGTCAGACTCTCTTAAATATTATATTCCCAGACTCATTTGCCAAGATTCCAAACCTATAAAGTATAATGTTTTAAGTCCAAATAAATTTTGCCGGCGTAAGGAACAAAGTATCCACATAATTGGCAGCACAGCCCACAGCTATCGTGAGCACCCCGGGCACATGCGCGCGTTAACTTGGACTGCAGTGTCGGAAAACAGTGGGAAATAAAAGCCATGGCTCTTCTCAAATCATATTCCTGGGAACGGGGAGGCTGGGTTCACCCTAGGAAAACGGCCAGGTAGCATATGGGGAATGAGGAAAGCAGTACTTTTTCAAAACGTTTTCCAGGTTCTCAGAGTTTCTTCCTGTGGTTTTAGTGAACATGTAGCTAACGAAAAATAAATTTACTCCTGTAGCAGCAGTAACTCACAAAGACAACTACTTTGACCCGCCAGGCATAGAGAAACATCGAGAAGAACAGCTGGTGCCTATGATGTTCTAAAAACCTTTAAGAACAAAACAGGCTTATGAGTTTTCATGTTTAGTTTTGAGGCTTTCTTTTCCACCTTCAATGTTTCTTAAGCGGGGATAGTTTTCATTTTTATTTTACAATTACAATTTTTATTTTATTTTTTTAATTTGTATTTTTTAAATGTTTGTTTAAAAAAATTTTAAGAGTATTTCAGGGACACAGGACTTGAGAAAATGAGTCACTCTCTGATGAGATGTATCGAAAGTATGAGGCTCGAGACAGCACACAGTCCAGCACTTAAATGGGACGTCTGTCCAAAACAACCTGATGACATGTCCAAAGCATGTGCTGCTCCTATGCTACACAGGTCCAACCCAGCAGAGACCACAGGTTTCCAGAGGTGGTGACTGACTCGCAGAGCAGGCCCTCGAGTTATTCCTTTAAGAGGAAGACCTCAAACTTGACAGAGGGCTCAGTGGTTAGGAGCCCTTGCTGCATCATCATATAGCCTGGTATTTGGATCCCAGTACCCATAATACACTGGTAATCTAACATATGCCATGTTCAAGAGGAACATGGACAGGGGATCACTAGAGCTTGTTGCCTTCTAGCCTAGCCAAGAAAGCATTAGCTCAGTGCCTCTATTCCTAACACTGCAGCCTTTAATACAGTTCCTCGTGTTGTTGTGACCCCAACCATAAAATTATTTTTGCTGCTACTTCATAACTGTAAATTTCTACTGTTGTGAGTTGCAGTATAAATATCTGATATACAGAATATCTGTCTGAAATGCGACCCCCCAAAAAGGTCATGACCCACAGATTGAGAACCACTACACTAGCCTCATATTCAAAGAGAGACCCTGCCTCGAAGGAACAAGTGGAGAGAAAATCACGAACACCTAATTCTCTCCTCTGGTCTCTGGGAACATGCAGAAGTTCACATATTTGTACACATAATGCATACGTACTCACTCATGCATGTGTTTATACACTCACATATACATACACACGCATATAAGTAAATAAATACTTTAAAAAAGAGCAAGACACCTATGCCATCTCTAACCCCCGCACTTGCAGAATGGATTGATCAGTATATCAGAGACACAGACGCAAGGTTTTCTCTGCATTCAGTAAAGGCTATCTATTATTTCCCACCTCTACTGTGCCCCAGCAAATGAATAACAGCTCAAGTTAATTCTATGGTTTTAATGCCCTCACAGGTTCATGCTTCAAATGCCTTGTTCTCATCTCATGGTGCTATTGGCTAAGTTCTGGAACCTTGCTGTAGAGCCCAGCTGGCAGAGGTCACTAGGGATGGCCGGCCCTTGAGAGTTATAGCCAGCCCTGGTTCTGGTTTCACCCCTTGCTTCCTGGTTTGTCAGCACGTGAATGGATTCTGTCTCTTGCTCCTGCCACTGAAAACTGTGATGTTTCTCCATATCTTCCCACCATGATGGACTGAAGCCCTTTGAAACTGTGAGCCAATGTAAGTGTTCCCCCCTTAGGGTGTTTACTGTAGTCACAATAATGCAAAAGTAACTCATACAGAAAGATACTGGAGATATAAAGTTATTGTGACTCAACAACTTCCTGGGCCTTTGGAAACTGGTTTGTGGGAGGGATTTGGAAATATGGACACGTGGGATGGAGAAACCTTAGAATGTTTCACATCGTACAGTTATTATATTACGGAAAAGAATTTGCATGTTTGGCCTGTGTCTTGCAATTTTAAGGCTGAATTAAAAAACTAATGGACTGATTATTTGGTGAGGGAATTTCAAAATAGCATAGGCAGGTGGTGTGGTTTATTGCTAGCTGCTTTTAGTAAGAAGGAATTGGAAGCAAAAAGCAAAGTATATGGGAAAAAATGCTGTTTGGGAAGGAAAATGAGCTCACTTGCTTTGGCAGGTAAAGAGCTGTAGCTGTTAAAGAATTTAGAGCTTTAAAGAATATCCAAGCATAAGTAAGTGCTTTGCATAAGATACCAGGAGTGCCTCAAGAATATGTCCAGGGTGAGAAAATTTATATATATATATAACTTCTATAAATATGTATTATATATAATATATAATTTATATGTATATAAATATATAATGTATATAATTTATATGTATATGTATTTATATTTATATATAATTATATATATATATATAAAATGTTGGGACTCTAAAATAACTCAGCAAGTAAAGATACTTGCTATCAAGCCTAATGACCTGAGCTTGATTTGTATAACACACATGATAGAGAGCACTGATTCTCACAGATTTTCTTCTGACCTCCAAACATATGTCAGGGCAAACATGCACCTACACACACACAAACATACTAAATAACTTAAAAGAATGCAAATAACTTATAATAAGGTGTTACATAGAAAGTAAGAGTTAGAGCTTGGATTTGATGTCCAGATAATCTAAGCTCAGAGTTACTATCTTAACGGGCTCCAGTGGCACAGTGGTTTAGTGGCATACTTTACACCAATGATATAAGGATTCACCTTGACTCAACCATAGCCTTTTTGAATCATAGTCACTATGATTGCCTCTGAGTCACCCTAGACCACATCCCACACACTCTCATACAGCTTCTGGGTGTGTTGTAAATGGACAACACTGTCAGGTGGCTACAAGTGTTAGGCTCAGACCCTGATGTCAAGACTGTGTCTGCATCTTTGATATTAGCATGACATGAAGTGGGTGTATTCCGGCCAGAAGTAGAGCCTTTTGTCCTGGTCACTCTAGAAGCTTATGATGCAAATCCTGGGATTGACCTTATGCTGCTGCAAGCCAAGACCATGCTTCAGTCAGCAAGTCTAGTGTAAACTTAAGTCCATGCAGTCACTGGTCTGTCTGCTCACTCTTCAGTTCCGTGACCCTTGAGACTAGTTCTTGGACACTGGGACTGGTTGCTCCAGATCAAATGCTAAATTGGGTAAGTCAACGTGAGAATGTCAATACTTGACCTATGTAGGATCACAAAGATGGTTAAACCAATATACTATGTTTTTCTCATTATTTTTATTTAGGATCCTTATGAATTAAGTCCATACACGATCATTTGAATGTTGCAGCCTAATAACACAAGGTGAAATAACTTATTTTAACTTATTTAAGTTAAATGTGTGCAGTTGACTGTTTTTGATATCAGGTCTGTGATGGATAATTTTCACTGTTAACTTGACACAATCTTGTATCACATAAAAAGAGTCTCAGTAAGGACCTGCATATACCAGGTTGGCTTGGGTTCATGTCTGTGGAGGATTTTTTTTCCTTGGTTATCTGAAAGACATACTCTGAGTTGTGGACATTTCATAATTGGGGCCCTGATCAGTGAAACTGAGCAAGTAAGAGCCATTTCTCTCTGTTCTCGACTATAGGCATGATATAATGAGCTGCTTCAAGTCCCTGCCACCTTGAGTGATAGACTATAATCTGGAACTGTAAGCCAAAATAAATCCTTTCTCTCCTAGGCTGCCTTTCATTGGGGTTATTTTATCACAGCAATATAAATGAGACTAGCCTTGAACTGACTGCATAACAGAGAAAGAACTCGAATTCCTAATCCTCCTGCCTCTACCTCCTAAGTGCTGCAATTAAAGGCTTGTACATTAGATTTTTTTAGAACTAAGTTTTATTGGTCCAGCAGCAGTGGAGACATTAGATGGGCAGAGGGAACCCCTAGCTTGGGACTACATGTCTGGTCCCTGGCTTCATTTCACTGGCTCATGAGTTAATGGCTGGCTAAGATACAATACCTCTTTTCTCTACTTTGGGCTGTTAGCCAAGGTTGTAAAAGCTGGAAAACAAGTGGAAATTATAAATAGTGAGCAATTAATTTTCAAAGCACACTGATAAAAAGTGGTAACAGTGAGTCCCAAGCTCAAGCACAGAAACAGTTTTCTCTGGGGTCCCTCACAAATGCCGCAGTACGCCGAGCTCCCAACACTCCACTTTCCGCTTCCGCCCTCCCATCTGCACACTCATTCTAGGAGAGCTGTGTGTGTGTGTGTCTCTTCCTGTGGTTTCTACTCTCTATTTTTCTCTCCTCTTTTTTCTTCATTTTTTTCCCCTTCCTCATCCCAACTCATCTGACAATCACAAAACTCCTGGAACACTAACTTATGGAGACCATCAGAGACCATATAGAACGACATTCCAATTCTGTCCCGGGGAAAAAGAACAACTGTCCTACGAGGTGATTTTTCACAAGAACACACTGTTACTTGGGAGAGAAAACATGGCGTGTGTCCAGTGCTCCCTCCACATGATGCTTGCAGCTGTGTCATGGAAGAGTTTTTGAAAGCCTTAGTATCTTCCACTATCACGTTGATTAGTAACTAAGAAAAGCCACTTTGACATAAGAATCTGTTATTCTTTTCTCAAATAAGTATCCTCCCTTAAAAAATAATCTTTCCAAGGCAGAGAGCTAAGATTCGAAGATGCTTTCTAGGTCGTTCCTTACAGGCTATGTGAATTTGCAAGACAGTTCTAAATGTTTAAAAGATTCACTCCTAAACATCTTTTCCTCAGAGCAGATTTCACAGTAAGTTCATAGATACCTCTAAGTAAAACATTCAGGTTATTTTTGAATATGCTAGAGCAATATGCAAACCCATGAATATGTGAGAGACCCATCTGAGAGAAAATATGCAGTGTTTCTGGATTGGTAGTTACCAATGAGCAGTGCATGTATACTGGAAAAGTACACAGGAAGGTTGAGGGGAAAACACGAGAGCTTACTCTTTGGGAGCTGGGTCATTTGGGGTTGTTGATTTGTTCATTAAGATGGGGTCTTACACTTGTAGCTCAGGTTGGCCTCAGACCTGTGGCACTCACCCTCACCCCTGCCCCTGCCTCTCAAGTGCTGAGATTGTGGGTATGAGCCCCATTCCTGGCTCTGGATTTGTATTATTGATTTTAAATTTTACACTCCTAGATTCTTGCTTATATTTTAGCATGCATAAGATATTAGTGTGCTAGTAACATAAATAATTCATAAGAAGTAAATACGGAGTTGTAATATGCTTCACTGTTTTGTCACTGAGGACTAAGGCCAACTACTGGTGATAACCAGTAGTCAAGTAGTCAACCAGTTGGTAAAATCCTTCCACACCCCCACAAGGCCTGCCATCAGGCAAGGCCTCACTCACCTGGTCCTTGGTCTTCCCTTCCCGCTCACGGATGTGGTTAGCAACAATCCTTTCTGTTTCCTCACAGAGTCTGGGGAAGTTTGCCAGCTGTCGAGAAAACATGTTTAGGCATTAATACCACACAGAGTTTATACCACAAAAACAGAAGCAGAAATGTGTGATGCTGTTACAGGGGCTGCTCTTTCTGAGAGCATAAGAGAGTCGTGAACTTCTGCAGGAGAAAAACCCCAGCATTCTTTGCCAACTGGGAAGAGACGCCTCCAACCCAGCCCCGCAGTTCTCTAGAAATAAAGCAGAAACCCAGTGTCCTGGAGAGTTTATTGTCAACTGGACCAAAGCTGGAGTTATCTGTGAAAGTGGGCTCTCAATTAGGAAAATGACTACATAAGATTTGCCCACAGGCAAGTCGGTAGTACATTTTCTTAACTGCTGATTGATCTGAGAGAGCCCAGCTCCTTGTGGGCAGTGCCACTCCTGGGCAGGTACTTCTGGGTTCAATAAGAAAGCAGGCTGAAACAGCCATGGGGAGAAAGCCGGTAAGCAGCATTCCTCGATGGGTTTGTTTCAATTCCTGCCTCCAGGTTCCTGTCTGGAGTTCCTGCCCTGACTTCCTTCAATGATGGCCTATGATATGAAAGTGTAAACTAAAATAAGCCCTTTCCTCCCCAAGTTGTTTTTGGCCCTGATGTTTCATTACAGCAACAGAAATCCTAACTAAGACACTGGGCAAATGCATAGAGGTTTGTCGGGACTTTTTGGCTACTGAAAAAAATCAGAAAGACAATAATAGAGGCTTCAGAGACAGTAACAGTGGAAACAGGAAAGAATGAGCACAGTGATGGCTTTTCCAAGTAAATGATTAATTTCGATTATAAGAAAACATGAACACATTAATAACAGCAAAGCACCACAGTACAAACAGGCAAAGAACAAGATTCAGTTAGTGAATCTGTAGTGGTTCATAAGGAGAAGGTAAACTTTAAACAGAATTAGTGATGGTGCAGAGGAAAAGAGAAGCTATTATGTTGTCAAGGTAAGACAACAGGTAAAGTTAGACTGAGACCAGCATGCTTAACTGAGAGGCTACTTCAATTAAGGTGAATTTCCTGGGAAAAATGGAAATGTTTATCAAAAACCTCAAATACACAAACTTCTTTCTGTCTTTGTCTCTGAATAATTCTCTCTGTCTCTCTTTCTCTCCATCTCTGTCTCTCTTTCTCTCCATCTCTGTCTCTCTTTCTCTCCATTTCTGTCTCTCTTTCTCTCCATCTCACTCTCTCTTTCTGTCACACACACACACTTCAATAGAACAACTTCCCAGTATTATAAGGTCAAATCAAAATAGTAAAAAATCAAAGTAGATTCATTTATAAGTGGCCATTAAAATTATGTTTTTAATTAATGTATTTATTTCAGTTTATTTATATGTATGTATTCATGTCTCTGCAACTGTGGATGCTTATGCATGGATGGGTATGCCCACACCTGTACATGCATGGAAGATAGAACAGAGTGTCGGTGTATTTCTCTATTGACTCTGCCTATTTCTCCCTGAATATAGAGCTTACTCTTGGCTGAGCTGGTGGCCAGCGAGCCACAAGAAGCTTCTGCCCTCAGATCTGGGGCTTCATACATTTGCAGAGATACCCAGCTTGTTACCCTGGTATTGGAATCCAATCCTGAGCATGTAGCACACATTCTTAACTGCTGATTCATTGCTTCAACTCCTAAATCATGTTCTCGTTTATGTTTAATGACATGGGATTCACATACTAAGGGAAGAAAATGGAGCAACTAAATAGTGTCCTGATGCCAAAACACCACTTCAAATCTTCAAGTACATAGCCCCAAGAACCTTACAAATCCCTAAGTTCACATTTCCCCAAGACTGAAAGAAGTTAGGAAAAGGCCTCCCTGAGAGATGCTGCTTGAGGTAACCTGGGGTCACTCTGTGCACTGACTTTACAGTCTGCATGTTGCACATTTGTTTCCCAGAAATCTAAGAGCCCCAGCCCTTCATTGAGTCATGCAAAAACAAAATCACTGGGTCTCTTAAGGTTGCAAGGCTATTGTCTGGGAGCAGAGAAAGCTGAACAAACACGATATAGCTCTCTTTTAACTCCACATGCACCCACTCCTCTGCAGGGGTTTCTATAGCCGAGTATTTTTATACTGCTATCAGAAAGTATAGAAAGCCAACTGCTCCCATAACCTCGTAAGGACAAGCCCTTGATGCACAGCATGGAGACAAGGCCGGGCCTCCCAGAACCATGTTTAAGAAATGAAATCCATGTATGGCAGCACATGTCTGTAATCTTATTCCTGGGAAGGTTGAGAAACTTCCTGAGGCTCACTGGCCAGTGCGGTGCAGAGAATTGCAGACTCTGTGACCAATCCTAGGCCAATAAAAGATCCTGTCAAAACAAATCAGGTGGGCAATGTCTGAGGTTGTCCACATATGTATACCATATATGCATGAACGGAGAGAGGCGGGTATTGACTAATTCTTAGCTGAATCATGTGATGTACATTTGTTTGAAAGATTACTTTATGAGTTATTGGGAAAATACAAATATATTTCCCATTTCAGACAAACTCTACCAGAGCCAGACCATCCTTGGACACTTTGAGAATACTTCAGAGTACCTTTTATGAGGCTTATAATCAAAGACAAAGAGGCCATCAATTCAAGTGGGAATGAAAGAAGGGCTAGCAGAGAAAAAAGAGGAGGGAGTGTGTGTGTGTGTGTGTGTGTGTGTGTGTGTGTGTGTGTGTGCACACTCGAAAGCGTGCAGTGGGGGGAAAGGGGTTAGAACTAGAGACAACACTAGGCCATGCAAGCCATGGGCATCACTGAAAGGCACCAATGAAATAAGTACAGTTGCCTGATCTGCAAAGGATTCTGGGGGCATCATATTAAAAAATGTTGGTTTTCGTTGTGGGTTTACACATGGTGTTCAGTTCTTATGATGCGCACAAGAAAGGGAGCATTTTTCTGGCATTCAAACTGATTTCTGATTAGGTTCCGCGTACACCACTTCATCAGCTCATTCTGTGGGAACTGCTGGGTGTTTGTGCCGCCCTGCTTCCTGCTTCCAAACATACCCCTTCCTGACTGGCCACTCTGCATCTGCCTCACTACATATCTCTTATTTAAGGTGCAATTACAATTTCCTCGGTCATTATGACTCTCAGCATCTTTTGCTCTGATGTTCAATTAAAAGCCTACCTTGCAAAGAATTCTAATCATGTCTGCCTAAACAGATCTAGAAAGCACCACATCTGGGTTTTAATTCTCCATTAATTACTTATGTTCTATAAACTGTTCATGAGGAATCAGGTTAGAAAGGCTTTGCCACTGGTTATAGAAACTATGTTCCTTGCTGTACATCATACCCATCACACACTAGGAAACTGCCATGCACTGACCCTAAGCTCATTGTGTGTCAGAGCATGTGATGTTGAATCTTACAGTCTAGAGTGCTGGTTAACTATATAAAAACACAGTCACACAAGAGAAAGGCTCTCAAAAAGCAAGAGAGGAAAAACACAAAGAAATCAATAGTTAAACCTGCCACAAGAATGCCTCTTGGGTTTTAACACTCTCATAATGAGAGTGAAACTTCCAGGCACACTGTACATTGGTTAAATGGCAAATTACTTCCAAATTCCTTCTTGCTTAAATCACTTGACTGCTCTTAAATAATAAAGATTCAATGAAGAAATAATAACGTCTCTTTTTTTTTCAGAGTCCAACCCTTAAATGTTTGATTCTTAGAAAATTTTAATGATACATGCTCTAAGAGAAAGTAGCACTATAATAAAAAATAAAAAGCTACATCTTAATTATGATCAATATTTTAAGTGTTATTTAGGGTTGTGCATAATGATTTTGGTGAACCTCGATATAAAAATTTTAGTATGAACCACATTTTTCTCTGGAGGTAAAAGAAACACTTGAAAGGTATTTCCATCCAATAAAACAAAAATTACATACTTATAAATTTTACTAAACATTAATTGATTGGATCATAAGAGGCCGGCTATTCAGTTTCTTCTAGGATAGGCATGAGCCAGCCAAGGTTTCTTTGGCCTCAAGAGTAACTAGTCTGATGCCTCAAGCAAAACTCAGGCTGCTGGGTAATCACCGTTCACAGACCTGCAGCAGGGATCACAGAGAAAGCAAGCCAGAACCAGAACAGTTTCTTGCATCTATTTGACCTGACTTTGTAGGTCTCCCTGACAACAGTTACGAGCGCTTTTTTTTTTTTTTCATCTAAAAGCTATAAATTTTCAGATGTTGGCCACTCATTATACACTGACCAGCAATTTTGACTGCACTGCTCGTGAAAACATTTAAAATTTATTTCATTTTCTATGAATTAAGCCTGCCACCCTCCAAGTTCCCTAGCAATCTTTTACTCATGTGTGACATCTTGTTGGATTTTTTTGGGAGATGAGAAAAAAGTCGTCATCTGAAGAAAGTGTTATAAAGGAAGGAGAATTGCATTCCCCCACGTGCACAAAAGACTGGAAATGAGTGATTTTAGCACAGAGCTGTCGGGAAATGGTGAGGTTACTGTTTGTGGCACAGAAAGATTTTCTGTCCTACAAATAGCATTTGGGAAATCTCCAAAGCTAGTGAGGGTGGGAGAAAGGAGCCAGCTCCTGGCTAGAGGCCTTGGATAAAGTGAGTACAGAGCAAGAAATGTGTCAGCTGCCCTCCTCCAAGTGCACAAATTCCAAATCTCTAAACCTCAAATACTTTCTCCAACGAGAGGGAGAAATGATGAGGTGTATGATGGAAAAACTTTTAAACTGAGAAATAAAGAGAACTTTCGTGTTGTTCAGCAAATGCTGAGGAATTAAAATTTCAAAGTCCAACCTTGGATGGAATAAAGCTGAAAGGCTGTCAGTAAAGGCACGGTTGGTCTCTTAAGGAATGCGGAAGGCGTCCAAACAGGTCAGGCTGGGTTGACACTGCATCAAAACAGTACCTGAAGGTCTTAGTCAGGTTTTTGTCTCCTCTGTAACCTGAGTTTATCTTTGGTAGACACATTAATGAGCAGTTAAGTTGGAAAAAGAAG